CGTCTTTTTAAACGTCTAGGAGATTCGATATACGAGAAAAGAAGAGAGAGAGAGAGAGAGAGAGAAAAGAGAATTTTGCTCGCAAGTGTTGTATATGATTCAGAATAAATTTTCATCGTTTTCGACGAGTGAGAACGTGGTCGATCGCTGTGATTGGATTAATTTTAAATTTAAAACTCGTCCCGCGCTAGTCGAACAAAGCTGGAAAATCCGCGATCTTCCCAGTGATTCGATTTAACCTCTGCGATACGGTTTCGGTTTCACTTGAACCTCTTCCTGCTGAGTCTCCTCCACCTCCTCTTGCAAAGGTTTGCCTCCCCTCGTTCCGCCAAACCTGCCGCGTCCCGTCGATTTCGTCTCGCTTGTGGCGCCGTTACTTTTGTTGCGGCTGTGCGTGGTGGCTCTGAAAGAGAAGATACTTCTTTTATCCTTTTTCTCGTTTTCTCGACAATTAAATTCGTCTCATTTATAAACAAATCTTAAATTAATGTTTCGAAACTTTATTTATAACTCTACTAAAAAAAAAAAAAAAAAAAAGAAAAGAAAGAAAAGAAAGGAAAAGAAGATGGAATTCGTTACTTGGATTTAGGTGTCGTCGATTCGGTGGCAGTTTGGGTGGCAGTCTGGCTGTCTCGATGAGAGCTGCTGGGTCCCGCTTGAGCTCTTCTTCTCTTCAACGCGTCCAACAGGTCTTGATTCGACCTTAAACATAAACATTTTTTCTCAACGGATCTCAACAAGATCGTAGAAGGCAGGAATGAAAGCTGCGATTACCTGAAAGGTCTGACACCTCCGCGAACTTTCTTGGACGATTCGGTGGTCGTGGTCGGCGCCTCCTCCTGCTCTTGGTTATCCTCGAGCTCCTCCTCTTCCTCCTCCTCCGCCTCGGCGGCCGGCTGCTCGATCGCCTTCGCCGTGGTCGACTGCGCCTGCGTGTTAACAACGGTTCACTTATGGACGCGTTCTGCTCGCTCGACTCATTTAACACCAAACTTACCGACATTTCATGTATTCCTTCCATGAGCGGTCAAATGCAAAAAAAAAAACACTTGTATCTCAATATAGAAAGAGATTTTAGCTAATTAAAATATGGAAAGTATGGATTCGTAAAGTAAACAATACAGAAAGTTGTGAATATTGAAAAATGGGTTGTATCTACATGATAGAAAAAGTCAATAAGTGATATGGCGATACAGTAACTTTGTATACTGTAGAGAAATTCTAAAGGAAATTTCAAAAACGGTGATTTGACCGGTCATTTGGTAGGTTTAAGTGTTAAGGGAAGTTTAAGGAACTCACGGCTGGCGCGGCTGATTTCCTCCCGACGTTCACTCGGCCTCGGGAGGACAACAGCCCTCCCAATCTACCGGAACCGGATCTGGCCGGGGCTGGGGTGACCGGTGCTGCTGCTGGCTCCTCCTCGTAATCGTATTCCTCCTCTGCCGATCTGGCCACGGCTATAAGACAGCCGATCGCTATAAATCTGTGAAACGTCGATCGATGCTTTTATCAATTACTTATTCTGAACGAGAAGCGATGAAGAAGAGAAGAAGAAATGTTTGATAAGCGAGAGTAGAGCGATGGCTTTTCTTCAATCACTTTGTCATAGACGCTTCAGCGCTCGTCGAGATTTACGGTGAAAAGTTAATTACACGATAATGGACGAGACAAAGAAAGTATTATTTCCTTGCTCATCAACGTTTCAGACTTTCGTCGACATATTTTTTCAGTACGGGGTTTCAATCGTATTCATAGAATACGATTTTGTTTGTAAAGTTGTGAGATTTTGCCTGTCTCTATTGCAACTCGAATTTCTCGTTCCTTTGCTTTCTCTCTCCGCAATAAGTACGTATTATCTATAAATCAGTTAGTTTTATTGCCAGCTGGTTGTTAGAGAAAGAGGTTAATAACATAATCGATAAGATGGATCCAACGGGGCATTTTGATTGATGCCGTGTGGTTGATTAATTAACATTCCGCACCGTGGCAGGAAATGCGGAAAGGTCAAGAAGATGTCGAGCGATGGTGAAAGGTGGATGGATCTCCAAGAAGTTAAGAAACGCTTTCTTGGCCGAGTAATCGACAACAACAGGAAGTTAACGATCGACATGCTCTTCCTCGAAATCGAAACTCCTCCAATTCTCCTCCAGCTGCGATCGGCTCTCGAAGGTATAATTTCAATCGTATAAACGCGTTATCAAGGAGCAAAGGTGTGTAATCCTTCTGCAAATGAAGATTTCGATTAAGAACAAAGAATGTTTTAATTCGGATGAAAGAAAAGGATTTCGTCTCTAACATTTTTGAAAGTAACTTTAAGTACTTCCAGTTATTAATTCTCTCGGAAAATATGGAAGTCGGTTCGAGCATATGGCGAAACGAAGCTAATACGCGAGTTACATACAGTTGCAGAGGCAACGGAGCGGCGTGACAGCATCCATTGCTCCTTCACTTCCCCTCAGATACTTCACTTTTCTTCTCGATTTTCTCAAAACCACCCTTTTTAATTCCACTCTAATAATTTCATAAAGAGCTCCACTTGTCCTGGAAATTATCGAGCAATTAATAATTAATTTGCAAATCGCACTCCGTTCATCTTTCATTTTTCAAAATCAGTCGATCAACCATCTCTGCACGAAAAAAAGGAAGGGAAAATAGAAGAAGAAGAAATTTGCTCGTCCTCTTCGAGGAGGGGGGGGATCGCGATCGTTACGAAGGAATCGGTGGACAAAACCGGCGTGCAACCGCGGGTTTGTCGTTGTAGATCCGCATACAGCCGGATTTTGACCTGTGACATTCACGTACGAAACTCACTTTCTCTGCTTGGCTCGTGCAAGCCAGGCTAACTCTCAGGATTGGCCGATTGACGAAGCGTGCCCCTCGAGGAATACGTGATACGGCTCACAAATGTCACGAAAACTAGCCCGGGACGAAAAATCCGTGTGCTGCCCTCTATTTTCGAATGCAATCTCTCGAATGCGTGGAATTTTTAAAACGAGGGGCAATCAATCTCTCCCAACTTCGCTTCTGAGAGAATCGATTCTATCTTCGTAGCGTGCAATTTATTATTTCCCCCTCCCCCTTTTTTTCTTTCGAACAAACGTGATAAAGTCGTTAATAAGAAGAACGTCGTTACATACGTGTCCTCGCTTTTCGACTTGGAGAGAAAAATCTAGAAAGGAGAAAAAAAAAAAAAAAAAAATGCGTTGTAAAAATTATTATTCATTCCTCTCAGGATGTGTAACGTTCTGTGATTATAGGAAACGATAGCGATCGATAAACGAACGAAAGTTTCACTTACTCGTGTATATACGTGTATATACACTTTTATATACACCAACGGTGTACGTTCGAATGCAATTTGCAACACGTATATAATGTATCTTCTATATCCCAGAAGTCGAAAAAAAAAAAAAAAAAAAAGCGGAGATCCATCCGCAGCTGGAATGCAATTATTAGTCGCAATTATCAAATGATTATATCCGAGGATGTGACTCGATATTATGGGTTAAGGGAATAAAACGATTCCACGGTCAAAAGTTATTAGGCGATTTGATGCAATTCAATTTCTCGGTCCGGCAACCGCAATCGCGATTATGACACTTACGTTACGGTTGTTCGTTTTCGCGGTTTGCTTTTCCATAGAAAAATATCCATTTCTTTCCTTTTTTTTTTTTTAAATTATGAATTACGTAGATATGTATGTGTATATATATATATATATTTTTCTCGTTCACTTGTTTCTTTCGTCACGTGCGGAGAGAAATTACGGTTGAAAAGGAATCGAAGTTTCAGTGGCTTTCAAAAAGTCGTTGCGTAAGGAACGTCGTGCGATACGTTTTCACTAATACTTCAGTTTTTCCCCCCTCCCGTAACACGCTGGATATCAATGAAACCGCGTTTCATTTTAATCGTAACGATGAAATTTCTATTCGATTTCCTGGTCGGGAACAGGATCCGATACTTCTCTTGTCCGATGTTTGCATAACGTGCTTTTCTCCCGCGAGTTCTCGTTTGCCAAACAGCAACGTCGTCGAAATGTTCGGTCAAAAAATTATTTTCCAATATTTGATATTATTTAATTATATTACAAAACTCGGGATTTTTTTTTCATCTCGATCGATTCGGTTACTGCGTTAGAATTATTATATCTCGCGCGATTTGGTGCGATAAATTAATAAGAAAAAAAAAAAAAAAAAGAAAAGAAAAAAGGTAAGGTAACATTTCTCAATAGAGATAATTATCTCTTTGTTGTTGCCTAACTCATATATTCGTTTCGAGCGATATACGCTCTTACGAAGCTGGTTAGGGTTAATAGAAATTCACGCGAGCATGTTAGACTCGGTCAACTTAAACGCGCAATGATCACTTGCGACAGATACCGAATACCACAAGATAGCCAGAGCAAGTACACCTTTCGATCGAGTATAACGACGTTCCGATCGGCCTTGATTCAAACTCGAAGTAGCGGTCGTAAAGCAATTATATATTCAACCGACTAAATTCTAATTCTAAATTCATACTACAAATACACTCACTCGAATCGAACAAAAAAAAAAAAAGAAAAAGAATTCTTAATCGAATTCTTATACCAATCAAGTAAAAAAAAAAAAGAATTTTTTTCTTTTATACAAGAAAAAAAAAACAACTTTACAAAAACGTCACGATCAAAAGGATCACGTAGTAAGAAAAAAATACTTACGCGAATATAGCGAGCTTCATGGTTGTAGCTGGTTCGAGTGGCCGTGTCGATTGACGAAAAGATTGATTCCGGAAGCTGCCCTCGTGCAACGTGGAAACGTGGATGGCCGACTGTTACCACGGGCGCGAAGCCGCGAAGAATGAATATCGTGTGTAGAGGGAACCGAAAGCACACCACTGCAAACGCGGAGGCTGTGTACTTTGGAGTGCCGAGTCGGGTTTCCCCTTCTCTCTATATATATATGACTCTCTCACTCTCACTCTGCCAGCAACCACCCGTGCCGAACCCATCCACCTATCGTGCATGTGATATATCCTTCTCGATACCACGTAAAACAGCGATATCCATGTTGATTGTTCGAATTCATGGAATTTCGAATCACCGAATATCTCCTTGAATCCCTGGATAATTTTCATTTTACCCTTTCACGACGAAAGAAACGATTCCTGTTTCTCTTTCTGGTCGAATAAAATAACTGAACACTGGCTTGGGTCCGGATATCCTTGATATAACGCGTGAAGCGAGCAAGGTTGAACATTGTGTGTTCCTTTTTTTTTTTTTGTCCATGCGTCTCCCCATTTGATTTTTTTTCTAGGTAGGAAAGGGTAATTTTCCGTGTCGCGGCCGAGAGAATTCGAAATACCGATCGGTAACACAGAGAGACGACTGAACGGATCGTGTGTCGATCGTCCCCCGAAACGAACGAATCGCTCTGCTTAGGACGTGTTTTATAGTTAGATAGAGCGCGCAACCAGTGAAAGTGAACACGATGCAGACCTGGTACTTGTCCAGAGAGCAAGAATGCCAGATACCCTGCTGATATCCTCTTCTGTGTCCTTTATTTCCTTTCTTCCTTCCATTTGCTTTTTCGTTTACACAGAAATTCCTGATCGATTTGAATCAGAAAACATTTGCTGAAAAAGTGAATTGGTTGCATTTTATTACTTATATAAATCGAAGGAAATGTTTGATGATAATAACGTTTAGGATAGATTAGGATAGATAACTGTGTTTCGAGAAATTCTTTATATAGAATCAACGGAAACTTATTCGAGAGAATTGCATGAGAGAGGTTATAAATTTCCAAGAGGTTGAGAAAAGTAATCTCGATGGTTTTGTTGGCTAGACAGGATGATTATCCTTGAAATTCCATGATGTCGTCGTCCTAAGACACTAAAGCTGGCTGACAGAAAAATTATTAACGTGAAAACTCGACAAGCTTGTTTTGTTTTCTCGACGTTTCTTAACTTTTTGTTTTATTCGAAGTCTCGACAAAACCCATTTTTTTCACGGATTAATTTGGCCATGACAGAATGGCAAAGATCAGAGAATAAAGTTTCGTGCTCCATTCAGTTTCGAAAGAAAAAGTATCGATACCTTGTGCAACTCGTGATCTATGCGCATACGACACGCGCAAATACTTGTTCGAGTCATGAACGAAATATATATATATATATATACATACATACAAGCTGTTCCATAAGTATGAGAAATATTTTAGAAAATGATTTATGGTCTAAAAAAACCTTGATACGATAAATATATCTTCTGTTTGATCTTATTTATGAAATATAGTGACATTTATGTCGTATATTTTTATCCAGATAGCACAGAGATGTCTATTTTTACGATAACTTCTTGTGATTTAAAATTGAAATACAAATAATTATTGTTAATATTTTTTGAAATTTATATGAAATTTTTTCATGCTATTTAAATAAAATATCATTATTTCATTCATTAAATTGCTATGAAGCTACACAAATATAAAAAAATAAAAAAGTAGAAAAGTAAGGTTATATCTTACATCTTCTTATATCATTAGATTTTTTAAAAATACTTGAACTTCACTGAACTTCATTATGTTTCATTAATGTTTAAATTTACATTTACAAACAAATTTACAAACACGTGTTTAATTTCAATTGAATACGGTAAAATTCCGTAAATTCCAGAAATATAAGCATGCCAATAATACGAATAATCACATAGCAATGCAATATAAACATTAAAATATAGCGTAACTATTTTAAGCATAAGGAGATACATAATTGTAAAAATGAGAAAGAAAATAAAATTCACTATACCTCGAGAAAGAGAAAATTTTTAATTGTTTTTTTAAATATCAAATCAATTATCCAATCAATCGTCGAATATCTCCTATTTGTTAAATATTTCCTCATTTATTGTTAGATATCCTTTAACAAAAAAAACAATCGTGATCGAGAAAAGTTAACCTCGTTATTGGTCTTCATTCGCTTTAGTTCGCGAATCATTTTGTTTATTGATAAAATCAATTCCAGACAGGTCGCTGTTCGAACTTCTCTCGAAGTCGTCGCGCTTGGAAAGATATTCAGGATCTTCCGTGTGTGTAAATGTCAAGAGGTATATTGCAACAAGTACAATTGCACATTTTATGTCTTAGCCGGTTCGTTACCACCTCGAGCTATCTTTCTCTCGGAGACTATTGTTAGCTACTATGTACATACAATACAGGGACGAATTCGAAGAAAAAACGTATAATAGAAATAAGAATCGATCCTCGTTTGTTAAAATTATTCACTTTCGTCAACTTTTTATCCAATTATTCTTATGCTTCTTGAAAATAAAACTAAATTTCTTTAATTGATCAAAATACGAATTTGAAAAAAAATTTTCCATAAATCTGTTTTCCTATGTACTACGAAATATACGACTCACACGACTGGTAAAACTTGTGCTGTCACCTCTCGGCAATATTTAGCAGCGTTCAAAAGGATTTTACGATCGAAGGATTTACCATCTTTATAAAATCGATTAAATAAACATATACTTTCATGTTGATTTATCGTTAACATATTTTTGAAAATTTTATTCTTTTTGATATTATTATTTTACAACAGAAAATATATTTTCAAATACGATCAAATTTATGGAAGCAGTTAAAACATTTACAAACATTTCTTATTCGAAAGAAAATTCGAACAGCGATTGAAAGAATTCAGATTTGAAAAGAATTCCAGGAAACGTATTTAGGTTTTGTTGAAAAGAATTCGTTGAAAAGAATTTGACAAAGGGCGAGGGGAATGGCGGCAAAAGACGAATCGTGAAGTTTGTATTCGGTTTCTGCCGAGCACTAGCGCCATCCGGTAAAGTAGTGGAAGCACGAACTAAAAGAGTCGAGGAGCTTGTCTGTCACTTGTTGCATCGCCGTCGGCCTGACGTTCGCTCCGGGCCCGGCGTGCTCTTACCGGTGTACCATCGTGATTTTTTATTTTCTACGTTTCATTCCCTTTTTCTACGGTATCTCAATTACGATAAATCATTGAATTTTTTTTTCGATAACGGTACATATTATTAGTCGTAAGAACTTTTTTCAAAGAAAAGTTGTCAGTGTCGCGTTGTTTTTTTTTTTTTCATCAGTGGATCCTTGGATGTTCAACGAAATTTCCTGCCAAAGTTCCTACTAAAAAAGTATAATCTGTTTATACATCATGGTGAGTAAAATAATATAAGATTGATATAAGATAAAAAACAATAAATTTATTAATTTGATTCGATAATCAAAAATTTACGAAAATTTTTACGATAACTCGATCTATATTGGCGCGTAACTTTAAATCTATTGAATTTTGAATCTCGCAAACTATCATTATTTCACAATTCGAGTAGTCGATAATTACTTCGATTGAAAAATTTATTTAGCTACTGTTTGTCGATATCTATACACGCAGGTATTTAGACATAAAAGAATGTTTGAGAATACGGCAAGCTGTTCGTATTCATGACGAATCTCGCTGCTTCTTTCGAGAGAAGGGAACACAATGGCTGCATAGAATAAGTGCGATCGTGCGTGCACGCTCGATCGAAAGGAGCTCTGCCTCTTTCCCTTGATCGCTATTTATCGCGATCCATTATCGCTGGTTCTCCTATCGTTCGAAGGAATTTGCGACCATGCTTGTTTCATGGAAAGATATTTCGTTCGTTTAAATTTTCTCAACCTATAAGAGAACAGTGTTTCGTTGAACTTCGTGAATACTTGACCCGTGCCTATATCGCTTGTTCCGCGTTGCTCTCTGCCAGGTCGTTCCTTTGTTTCCTAGTCTGATACTTCTGTACTTCGTATACGATGGACGCTGTACTACGTCCATTTCTCCGTTCTTTCTCTCCTTCTCCCTTACCTATTCATCTCTTTCTCTCTTCCTCCATCTCCACTCTTCCTCACGCTGTTGCTGCTTCGTCTCATTCTCGCAAGCTATTCGAATACGAGCCTTCTCTAGAAACCAGTTTCCAGCTGTCAGCATCCAGTTTCTCGTATATATACGCTCGGTGCATAGGTGTATAGGTGTATTATATACATACATATGCAAGATATATGCAATAATTTTTCGTTTCTCGTGCACACGTTGCAGCAATCTCGCTGACCCACGGCAACCTCCAGCCACCGACTACTTATTCGCCATTCGTTTCGTGGACTCTCGTTTCTCTCTCGAAATATTTTTTTCGATTCTTTTTTTTTTTTTTTTTCCCTTCGATTCAAGGGAAAGAGAAACGATCGAAGGACGATTGGTCGCGTTTGTCCCTGGCGCGTTAATCGTTCAATATGAATAAAGCAGGATGAGAGGCGGTTCTCTCTCTCGAAGAAAAGAGCTCGCCTCGACCGAAATAATTTTCTCCCCTAACGAAACTCGAAGGGCGCGCGTCTGAACCGAAAATAGGCGGATGAGACGAGGCGAACTTTGTTTTACGTTCTCGAATTCATTCATGGAAGGGAGACGAATAAACGGCGTGCAGGAAGGGGGCCGAAAAAGAAGAAGAGAGAGAAAAATAGGGAGGGAGAACTGATTCAAGTATCGAGGCTTAAATCCGTCGTAGTCATCGTCGTCGTTCTCGTTTCGTATCGCGCCACGTTATAACGTGTCTTCGACCGTTGTGTTTATATTCGAGACTCCTGGCTTCCCTTTGCTACAAGAGGCAGCTACGTTTTCGCTTCCTGAGATCAAGAGGTTAGGTATGGTCGGTCTGTTGCACAGAGCTTCGTGCTCTGAGAAAAATATATATGAAGTACGTGATCCAGGAGCAGATGGTCGTTGAAGATGTGGGATCAGGTCAAATCTCGTGGGACCGAAATTGTCCCAAAATTCTATGCCAGATTTTCCCTATTGTGGCACATTCTTCCTTGCAGGTATCGAAGGAAAAAATACCTGCGCATTTTTCTTCAACATTTTTCTTGGTATTGTGCGAAAATAGAAAAAAAGGTGAGTTTTTTCTTGAAAGGAATTTGTTCTATTATTTTTAATTGATCTAAAAATATGTATTAAAAAAAATGTATTGGTTGTTACATTTCTCTAATCTCTTTTTTTCTTTCAAGAAAAATAAAAAAATTTAATTTTGTTAATTTCACATTGTGATTTACTCTATTCCAATTAATAAATCA